AAAAATTTCCTTAGTTGTCCCTTGTTTCAAATGGCTCCTCTCAGATCTCAAAAGAAAAACAATACATGTACTCTGACTTAAAATAGTTCCTGTGGGAAATAGTTTTGGAAGTAATAGGGCTTGCAATGTCTTTGTGTTGCTGGAGGTATACATATTTTCTTTTTCACCACTAAGCGAATGTTTGTCATGGTATAACAACATCCTTCAGGCTGTAAACCTGGCCAGTATCTCGCAACGCAGCTCACAGTTCTATGCCTCTGGGTACATCTACACAGAAGTTCGCAGATGTATGGACACCATTAGCAAAAATCATCTTGTAGCTTACTAGGGTACACATACACCTTGCTCATCAAGGTGTGAAAGGAACAACACCTCTTTCTCCACAAAGGAATGGAAAAGAACAGGTGGCAAACCCAGCAGCCAGTCTGTTTACATCAAATGTCTTAGGCAGTAGTTTCTTGTAAGGTACTTGTAACACACAATGTGCTGATGAATTAAGTTTTACTGAGCAACATATTCAGTGCACAGTCCAGAATTATTCAGTCTTAGTCCAGAATCGATGGAAGTTTAACTCAATCTATCAAAGCTGCACTTTTTTTTTGACTGGACAGTAAAGCATAATTAATATTATTATATTAATTTCTTAATTAAGAAATTTCATTTCTTAAGAAACATTAAGAAGTTTTCATGTTAAAAATTGTTAAGGTTGCCTAAAAAGCATCTGTTAAAGCTGTAACCTAGACCACCTCTTCTGAAGGCAGAAGTCAGAGCCAACCCTTTCCTTAACTAACCAGAGGAGTGGCCAGACATGGAGCAATTCATTTATCTTCCCATGCGCTTGGAACGGGTTCCTCCAGCTACTATGTTACTATAAAGTAGGCAGTTTTAGCTTCCCAGCTAATCACTGGATAATCCCTTGGCCAGGTTACCACTACAGCTGAAAGGAAGGCACAGCATCGCAGACCTCAAAAAAAGCACCCAACTACTGTTTTTTGGCAACGCGTCTGGAAAATACTGGTAGTTCCAGAGTGATGCAGAGTCAAGACCTGCCTGATGTTTAGTTTAGTGGGGAAGGTACGTGCCCAGTAATCATGAACAAAGAATTGCTCTATTATCCTGTCCAACCTAGAAGCAGAAAGGATATATTTAAAGATATTCAAGGTGTTCACTGAATATCTGACTCTGAGGGAAAACGCAAAATCTGAAGTTTAAGCCAGACAAGAGTTCAAGCCTGAGCCCTTTAAACATTCAAGCATCCACAGAATTTGGTGTAACCAAAACATTTGGGAGTTTCCTCTTTAATTCTGGCATTAATACTGGCACACTAGCAAGGATTAATACAGTTATGACTTTTTTTTTTCCTAAAAGTTTCTTAAGTTACCAAGTATATCTTTTTAAAAATATTTAAATAGGAGCCTCGAAACTTGATACAAAACACTAGCACTGAAATAGTGATTTATGATTTTTAGATTTATCTAATGATTAAAGGTTTTTAATTTCTTATTATTGCTATCACTAGATCTGTAAACCAATGGTATTTTTAAATTAAGTACTTGAAAATATTTTACAATTGTTACGATAATTTACAAGTCTGATAAATAAAAGACCTTACCCAAACTAAACCAAACTGAGTAGTTCCCAATTTTGTTAGCACTCTAGATCACATTTTTCTGTACAATGTCAAGCATGCTTTGGCATATTACCTACTCCTCCCCTGACCCCAGGATTCTGAAGTCTTTATTATTTGTGTAATTCTTTTCTTCAAGATTGAAACTGGCTTTGGAAACCACAAGTGTTACTAAGCTTTCCTATTCTAGATAACAAAGTGTCAAGTAGGCCTTTTAAGCCAAGCAGCTAAGAACATGACACACCTGAGCACTACTGTTCCTGCAAAGCTTCTTGTAGATCTGATCAATAGCTATGGAGGCATGCTCAAAGCACTGGCTAAAAAGCTCGTATCGCCTTTTTTTCACCTGTTCGAATTCTTGCTTGCACGTTCTGGCCTCCTTTCTGCTGGTCTCAAAAGCTATGAAAAAAATCACTGAAATTACTCCATAATAAGCCTCTAAGCAAATACATGGAACAAATAGATATTGCTTACCTTAATAAGCATCAAGAAAATGATGTACTCCAGAAAAATGTTCTAATGCACATACAGGGAGCATACCAATACTATGGATTTCCTTCCAGATTTCGAATGGAGGCCCCAAAAACTGAAAAGCTGGGATGTACTCAAACTGCTCTGTGCCACATTCATCAATGAACACAACTCTTCCAATTCCTTCTGTAAGCTGGGCAGCCTCAGCAGCACCAGCATTTACCTGTTACATCTTCAGAACCCCTGGGTTTTCTTCATATGTTAATGTCTGCAATGCTTTTTAGGACAACAATAATTTTGCAGTAATGCTCATGTCCGAGTTCTGGACAACATATCCCTTCAATTATTTAAGAAAAATTTAAAGAATTTTATGATTCAAGTCAGTAATTTTGAGAAAATAAGTAAAAGTACTTTAGGATGTCACGAGACCAACACGGTATCTTTCCAATCATTCAAATTGTTTCAATACACCACTGCAGAGTAAAGTATATGCTAATAAATTATCTACATATAATTAAAAAGACACTGAGGATAAACACTTGAGCACAAAAAATACCTTCATATCTGAAAGGAGCAAAGCCAGCAGGACCAACCGCAGAAAGAAGAATTTCAATTAGGGTGACAACTCTCACAGTTAACAAAAGAGATCAATATGAAAGACTCAGTGTTACCATCTGTTGATTCTTGGAACTTGTTCCGAGCTATCTGTAATTTCTCTACTGCTTTCAGGTTTGGAGCAGCTGTCTTGATTAAAGTATTCTCTTTAGATTTTATTTCCTGCTGCATCTGGTTCAGATGATCCTCTATATCCTTATCAGTCTCTATATTCTAAAGAAAAAAATAAAAATACTAGTGCAATAAATTGCTTTTAGGCCAAGATATTTCAACATATACGGCAAGCACTCATGGTTTCTGGAAGACACTCAATCTGTAATAATTATAAACAGAAAGATTACCTTCAAGTCGTCTGCTAGGCTGCTGTAGTCTATCCGAATTGCCTCTTCCCTTTCATAGATACTTGATGTGGTCTGTGTGCCTTCTGTTTCAGTTCCTAGCTATTAATACGAAGGACATTCCAGTTCAGAAACATGACAGGGTTACCTTTTAAACTGTTAAAACAATACATTAAAAGGATATAAAATGGGGAGACAGAGGTAACATGGTATGAGGTAAACTTATTCCATTGCTCCTCCTCAAGATAAAATGGAGTTAATGGTTAGCTAAGACCTTATGAGTCTAATTAAAAAATTCACCTCTTACATGACGTGGAAAACATCTGCTAAATTCAGTTTGAAGCAAAGATGAAAGCAGCAGTAATTTATCTGTAATATATCTAGAACAATGTGCATGGTGTAAATCTCCCAATAGGAAAGGATTTACATTCCCATGAAAATTCATTCCCGTTTAAAGGAAAGGCTCTGAAGCGTGTAACTTGAGGTGTTTCTTCCACGCTACTGGTCTCAGAAGAAAAAAGTAACTTCAGTCCTGTACAGCATGAGCAGAGTATCTTCTTGACACCATAAGCCTGGATTTCAAATGGCTACTTTCCCTTGAATGAAACATGTGCCACACGTGATCAACAGTCCCTTTCCCACCAAGATTCTTTCTTTCTCAGAACCAATTCTTACTGGTGGTCTTAGTGATATTAATCAGGAATCGATGTTGTTCCTACTGCCCAACTCCTTGGTTTCATCTCTTCCTTATTCATAAACAGCGAGAGCTGAGCTACCTACATAGTCTGCTGATAATTCATGCCCTTTCCCCTCAAAGGCTGCAATCTCACTGCCTTCATTTTGCCTTCTGACCCACTCATACCCATCCTCCAAAAGTAATTTTCTTCGGAAAGGGTTCAACTAAACTACTTCTAAATTCACAGACTTGTAGCAAGTCCTTCAAAGCCCATTACTTTTTTCTTTTGTAGCAGTGGAGAAAGTTTAATTTTTCTCACAAAAGATATGCTGGAGAAAGAGGGAACACTGAGAAAAATTATGAGAGTCAAGCCTCTGAAAGCAGGAGTCTGTCCCTGATTTCTGTGAGTGTCTACATCTATGGAAGACAAAAGGATGGTTTTAGCGTTTGTATTACTGATGTTTAACCAAATATTAGACCCATGTGTGTCCTCTTACATACATATATCTAGAATACTCCACACCAATTTTCTTGTACCACCGCGATTTTACATATTTCACAGAAACATATTTCAAGCACGAGCAAAGAAACACTCAAACAACATTTCTGACTACAGCAATAAACTAAAATCCTTCTCTTGAACAGATGCTGCCTGATCACAAAAAAACAATGTATTTATTTGAACATTATTATGTAAGACAAATAGTCCTTGAAGGAAAAAATAAATATCTTTAAATTCAAGACTAAGCAATTGCTCCTCCGTACTACTTTCTGTAAACATTTTAAGTACCTCTACTTCACTGATGTCATCTAGTGATCCAGACAGGAGCTGTATTTTCAAGTCCTGCACCTTACATTCAAGAAGCATATTATGTCGTCTTAATCTTTTCTCTTCCAGTGAGGTTTCTATAGCTGTAACTTCCTTTTGTAATTTTGCAGCTTCTCTACAAAAGGCAAAAAACTATTGAAGAGCAGCAGCACCACTGCCAATAACATCCACAGCCACACAGCACTAAAACCAGCTACCAAGCACAAAGAGGGCTTTTTCCTCTGTAATCTCCATCAAACAAAGGAAAATGGTACTTAACTTCTTCCATCCCCCTCATTCCCTCGAACTACTCAAGGGGGAGCTGGAAACCACAAACTATTCTAGCGCACAAGCTAACACTCTGCTACTCTGTATGGTATCACATGGTAAATGCCATTAGCACGGATGGTTACAACATACTGCAAGTTCACGCTGTAGCATGTTCAAATATCCACCTTCCCTAACTACAACTCATCTGTTAAGCTCTGCTGAACACGTACAGAGATTTTATCTGTTTAAAATTTAATCAAGTATGTTTTATCATTACAATACTTGAAATATACCTTAATTCTTTGCAAGAAATTCCTTTGATAGAATCAAGTTGCTAAATAAGGCAGAGACGTAACAGTCATATTGTTAAAATCACACACTGTGAAATTAATTTCTAGGCATACAACCTATGAGTTTATGTAAAACTCTACAAGTTTACCTAGACACATTCTGCCAACGTGCCAGGTGTTTTTAAACATAAAGAAGGCCACTGATTGAGCCACTAAGGACATGAATAATAAATAAGCAGGAGAAAACTGAAGTATATACTGTCCCCAAAGCAGTTAATTTAAAAGAACAGTAAGGCCAAAATAGTGACCTAAAATTAGTATTAGTTTAATGTATCCAACACCTGAAAGGAGGCCTGGAGAAAATTCTCGTTAGTTGAACCAAATGTCCAAATTCAACAAAACAGGAAACAATTCAAACAAAAACAGGAAACAACCAGAAAACTTAATATTTCCACTCCCACCAAGTCATAAGCTAGTACGTACTTACCAGAAGTCACTACAGATCACAAGGCCTAACACTAGGTAAGTAAGAAGTGACTGCTGCTCTGTATGGTTTATGGGATGGCTTTCATGAGATAATCTGGTTCACATTAGTTTTGGGAAACACATACTGAATTAGAAATTTTTAACTAGTGCACACTGTAAATGCAAATCACCATCTCTCCAAAAAAACCCACACCCACACCCAAAAAAACCCAGAAGAGAAAATTAACCATCTGATCACTAAAATGCTTCTAAATATTATCACATTAATAATTTGCCTAGGAGTACAGTTAGTAATTACCTATTAAACGTTAACAATGTCTTTCTGAACTCTTCAACTTCATTTTGGGTTTTTCTAACCTCAGATTTATGAGCATTTAATCTATCCTTAAGATGTTGCTGCTTCTCCACAATTTCATTCACTTCTTTTAGAAGCTTTTCCTCAACCTGTGTAGAAACATTTACATTTTTAATCTTTCACCAAAAAGCTTGATATGGAACCTTTATTACACAGAAATAAAGAGTTAAAAGTTTAACCTGTTACAATACACCCAAACATCTTACAGCACAGAATCCAAAAGGCGCTGGGAAAACAGCCTGATTTCCACACAGGAAGATCCAGTTGGTTTGGATACATAGGCACAGCCAGCTCCAGAGTCACTGCACCTGACTAACATTAAAGCCATCAAACAGGACAGGGATCCTAGGACATCTATGATCTGCAGGCTACTCTCTTTTCCTCAATTAGACCCTTAGCTCTCCAAGAAGGATCCCATCTGCTGTACAACATATTTAGCAGTACCTAAGGTAACCTGAAGTTCTTAAAGTACTGCCTGTTAAAGATAAATCCCATGGTAATCCACAGAGAACAAAATCTGTGGAGGTACTCTACAGGAGTCTTCCCCTGTATAACCCAGACCACCGCTAAATGGCTAGAAACGAGGTGCTAGAGTATAGCACCTAGCACTGCATGCACAAAGACACGGGCCTTCAGAGACCAGTATCATGGCAACTCGATCAAGACTTAGTGCTGTTGCAGTATCTGAACAAAGTACCCTCAGAATTTAATAAAGTCCTTCTCCAGGACAAAAATACCTGAATTTGCTCAGTTACATTTCAGAAGAATTATGCACCCAGGCGTGAAGTCAGAGATGTTTCTCTGCATGACTAAGGATCTATTGCTTTTCCTCAGTATCAGAAATATGTGCCTTCTAACATTAAAATGCAGAGTTCGAATGATGTATGTGGGCTTTTTTCCCCGCTTTGGGGTAATTTTACATTTCACTTTTGTTTTTTGTTCAAAGCCCTATTACACACCTTTTCTCCCTCACTTTCCAGTGCACCACAAGCACAGTTTATCTAACAAGCAACACAAACACAGCAAAAATTACTTAAGAATGAAAAACACTAGGAAATAGGAATCCGTATGTATTACTTCAGCTAAAAATCTAAATTACTTGTCACGCAATTATTTTAAGCCTACTTATGGCTGTGAAACACCTTAAAGATGCAAAGCACCAGAGTTGTTCACTACTACTCACAAAAATCTTCCAGAGTCTCAGCCATGTGCTACTAGTTTTATCTGTAGTCATACACTGCCTTTTCATACAAACTAAACACAATCTAACACTGTACATACAGTAATCCCAAATCTAATTTTTAATAAGCTTATTTTAAATAATTACTAAGTACCCTAATATGATAGGCTATTCCAAGGTTAAAATGACAATATGCAACTGCAAGTTTTTAAGACTTATAAAGCCAACACTGAATTAAATCCTAGAAGAATTACTCAACAGAATCAACTATGTTTCTTCAAAATTGTACTTCAGTGCATTCATTCCTTTTGGTCCCAGATAAATATTAGCTGTATTTTACAGTTACCTTTTGTAGCTCAAAAATCTCAACTTCATCTTTATGAATGGACTCCCTCAACTTGCTGAGTGCGTTTGTCGATTTTTGCAGATGATCACGATTATATTCCAGCTGAATGTTTAGTCGTGTCTTCTGATTTTCAAACTCCAGTCTAGTCAAAGCACAGTATTTCAAACCAACAATAACAAATCAGGCTGGTAACTGTGATTTTAAGTTATTACAAGATACATTTTCACTTTGACTATTCAGATAGCATTTGTAAATCTTCTACTTCAACACAAAAATCTGCATATTCAGATCATCAATTCCACTACAGCCCATCCTGTGGATATACTGGATGTTACAAAAATACAGTGAAAATAATTTTAAAAAATTCAATATACAGTATGGCCACATTCAATATGGAAAATAACTGCACAGGTTCAAGTACCTCAGTATGGACAATATACCTGTAAATGATGCAGCTATGAGCTGGGCATAGGCTACACTGATGCTGTATATTTATCCAATGCCTGTGCTCCCTGGTCAGCCTCTGTAAGCTTCCAAGTCAGCTGGCATGTATATCTGACTCTTGTAAGGACCCTAGCTCAGCTGTGAGATGGCAATTCAGAAGCATGAGACCAGAGCATTTTAAGCCATAGTCAGCCTTGCTTATCGTCTCTCAACAGAGACCTGTACGTTTACAGGGATACAAAGGCAGAAACTTCTTTGCACGCTTCTGTGAGAAAGGACTGAAGTAAAACTACGCGGCTGTTTACAGAAAGGTCTCCTCTCAGCTGTTACTGTCTGCCTCTGAGCTTCCCAAATAATTTACTATTAGTGCCAACCCTTTTGCCTGAACAACAGATGCAGAACACCAGCTCCAGCCTCTTCAGGCCTGGGCAAGAAGGCACCATAGCACATAGGCTTACAGGACCGCTGATGGTGCTTTAACTGCAACTGAATACAGTGCACTACTACCTCATTACAGCCCTAGCCAAAAACATGCATTTGGACCAGTTTCTGAAAAACAGTCAGAGTCTCCTAGCAGCTGAAGGCTGGAGAAAAAAAAAAAAAAAAAAAATTCAATACCAGCAATTACACAACACATGTAGAAAAGGTGTTATTTCTATAAATAGTGTCAAGAAAACCCCCAAGCTACTATCTGCCTAAAAACACCTGTAATACAAGCAGACAGTTCATTTTAACATCCTCATTTTTAAGATATAAATTTGTAGTTACAGAACCATAGAATGGTTTGGGTTGGAAGGGACCTTAAAGATCATCTAGTTCCAACCCCCCTGCCATGGGCAGGGACACCTTGCACTAGACCAGGTTGCTCCAAGCCTC